AAGGAGAAGGAGAAGGAGAAGGAGAAGGAGAAGGAGAAGGAGAAGGAGAAGGAGAAGGAGAAGGAGAAGGAGAAGGAGAAGGAGAAGGAGAAGAAAAGAGGAAGAAAAGAAAAGAGGAAGAAGAGAGGAAGAAAAGAGGAAGAAAAGAGGAAGAAAAGAAGAAGAAAAGGAGAAGAAAAGAAGAAGAAGAAAAGGAGAAAAAGAAAACAAAGAAGAAAAATATAAAGATGATAAGATAAAGATGATAAAGATAAAGATAAAGATGATAAAGATAAAGATAAGATAAAGATAAAGATAAAGATAAAGATAAAGATAAAGATAAAGATAAAGATAAAGATAAAGATAAAGATAAAGAAGAAAAAGAAAAGAAGAAGAAGGAAGAAGAAGGAAAGGTGCAATAGTTTTACATGAGGCAAATGTAAATGATTTACAGACTGCAAATCTCAGTCCAGGCAGGCTCAAGGATGATTGATGGCCTGAAGGCTTTTCTCCCCTTCCCATCCCTTCCAATCTGGATGAGTCCAGTGAAGGAGTGGCACGGCTGAGCGAGCACCAGCATCCCAGGGAGGCTCAGGAGCCACCCCGGGGTCACCCCTCGGTGACATCCGTGCACTGGACTGTGAAGGACAAGCGTCCTGTAAATATCACAGCCATCACTTGTCTGGACAAGCAGCTTGCAGAGAAAATGCTGCTGAGGAATGTGTCAGGTGCAGAGCAGGAGAGCACAGCAAAAGGACAAGGCAGAGCAGGGGAGGAGAAGGGATTAAAAAGCAGCTAGATGAGCAGCCGAGGGGATTGAGGAGCACAGGAGGAAACAGAGACAGGAAGGGATGAGTGAGACACGCAAAGCACAGAGAGAAATTGAGGAAGACAAAGCCACTGGAGGAAGTTCAGCAGTGATGCAGCACAAGGAGAGAGAAGCCAAGTGAAGCAAGCACGGCCAGGCTGCATTTTGCCTGGCTTTGCTCCTCCCCACTCTCATTCGGGATGAGCCCAGACAAACTGTACCACAACCATCCTGAGGGATGCCCAAATGTTTCCTGATGGCCACACAGCTGCTTATGCAGCATGAAGCTGGAGGAAAACACCTTAACCTTGAGTGGAGAAAGGAGAAACACTGAATAAATGATGGGGAGGAAGCAACCACAACCTGGCTGCAACATAGCTGGTAGCCAGCAGGAAAACCAGCCCTACTATTAAAAGAAAAAACCAACCCAAACCAAGTGAAAAGCAAACCCTGGGGAGCTTTAAGCACTTGCCAGTCACAGCAGATGCAGCTTTGGAGGTCCTTCAGAGGCAGGTGAGCACCTTGCTGTCCCCACTGGTGGCTCCTGAGAGCTCCCAGGACCTGCCTCTCCCCCACCTCCATATGGGCTCTGCAAATCCCTCTGCCCCAGGGACTGGGGAAAGCAGAGCCATCTGTGACCTTTGCCAAGGACATTTGATTGTGGCCATGGTGAAGAGCTCTTTTGTTTCACCCTGAGAGGAGTGAGGCCCAGCAGGGTCAGTGTCAGTGCTGTGAGGATGGAGCTGGGCACAGCAAGGCAAAAAAAGCTCTTTTGTTTCAGAGAATTGACTTTAGCTGTAATTGCACAATTTAAGGTCAAAGTGAGAAGCTCCTGCCGTGTTCCCACCTCACCCCACAGATCCCTGCTGCTTCACAGATCTTCCCCCAACCCCACTTCAGACTGGGACAGGCTCAGGGTTGGTAACAACAAAGGGGAAAAAAAAAAAGCAGGGAGGGATTCTTGTATCTCCTGGCTCTCATTCCAGAAGGTTTTTCTTGTCCCTCACCCTGCTGATGGAGATGGTGTAAGTCAGCTGCAGTGAGCTGTAAATAACTGAGTTCCAGAGCAGTCACGGCTCTGTACTCAGCAGCATCCATCTGTGAAGGCTGCAAGGAGCTGCTCAGTAACTCAGTTCCAAAACTCCACTGTACCAAGGCTGGGCTGCTTCCAAAGAGCTCCTCTCTCACGGGACCCTGCTGCCGCCGTTCCCTCAGGGAAAATGGCACTGAGAGCTGCAGGAATGCCCTGCTCCTCTGGGAGCATCCCCCGGCAGCCACACAGGACCTCCAAAAGCCACATGGACATGGGCAATCATAGAATCCTGGAATGGTTTGGGTTGGAGAGGACCATCAAGTTTATCCAACTCCACCCCCTGCCATGGGCAGGGACACCTTCCACTATCCCAGGTTGTTCCAAGCCCCATCAATCTGGCTTAGGACACTTCTAGGGATCCAGGGGCACCTCACAAGAAAGAATTCCTTCCCAACATCGCATCTAACCCTGCCCTCTGGCAGTGGGAAGCCACTCCCTCTTCTCCTACCACGACAATTGCTGATGAACAACCTTCCCTGCTGAGAAAATCCCTGATTGCCTGTTAAAAGATGCAATATAAAGGACCCTTGGTTTGCCTCCTCACAGGAAACACCTGGAGAGGAGGTGACTGGAGGGATGGCTTTTGCAGGCAATCCCAGATCCTCATGATTGCCCTGGGATTGATGTCCTGGAGAGTCCCAGCAAGCATCCACCAGGACTCAGCTTAATGAGGGTTAGCTGCAAAAAGCCTGTCACACATTTATTTCAGCAGAAAAACAGTGCTGGTCCTGAATTGTTACAAAAATTTCAAGAAGAGTGAAGACAACTGGACTTTCCTACAGTGCAATTCTCAGAGCTGGAGCCTGGAAACAGCTCTGGGGACAGAAAGAGCTTTGGGGATACCACTCCTCTGTGAGCCCACACATTTGTTACAGTGATGGTTCACCAGCAAAAATCCCTGAGCTTTTTCTGCAAGAAACACTTTGCACTTCCCATCAGTATCTCTCTGCACAATTCCTTGGTCTCCGGCCTTTTTCTCCTCAGTGTTCCCAGGAGTTGTGGGAATTCTTGGGCTTGTCTTGTTGGGATGTGCAAAAAAAAAAAAAAACCCAGGGAAGCAGAAGCAGGGAGGACTGAGAAGCTGAGAGCAGATTTGGGAATTTCAGACTGGCACAGCATGGCATGTTTCCATTTCCCAGGCATTTCTGCGAGTAGCCCTGATGGTGCTGAGTGAATGATGAAACCATTTGAAGACACATGCAGAGAATTCACCA